TCTCATTTCATGCCACCATCTTTAATCTGTCTGGTTTTTAGTTTTAAAGGTAGTATTAGGTTCTGCGACTTTATGTTTTTGTTAAGCGTTGTTTCTAAGATCCATTGAGTGTAGTGGAAGGTCCTTTTGGTGACTATTCCACAGGGTCCTTATCCATTTCCCTGTGCTTGGGGTTGAGATTGTTTTTATATTTAGTTTAGGGCACTTAGGAACAGCACTGCTACTATGAACATTCTCTTTCAGGTGTGCACAGAGTTCCTCCAGGGCATATTGGAGATAAGTGCTGCATCTAAGGGCATGCTCATGTTCAGCTGTGTACTCGGAAATGTGCATGGCCACAGCCTGGCCCCTCTACCAGGTCCACGTTTAGTTCACAGAGGAAATCTCTGACCCAGAGCATCATGGTTAGCAGTTGTGTTGTCTGAGGGTTTCAGGGTTTCTGGTCCACCCTCATACAGAAAAAGCAATCTGTTTATTCTTTAAACTTTTTTTCCCTAACTTTAAAAGCAATGCATACTTGTGATTATTTTAGAAAGCCCTTAGCCATGAGACTCGGGAATGAAGTCTTTTTAACCACTATTACCAGATTGGCATGTAAATGAAACTAAATTGGTTTGTCATCCCTCCCCCACCCTGATAATCATGTATCAATTCTCTGCTCAGAATTGTATAAAACATATTTTCTATCAAGGTTTTACAGTTTTATATGCCACAGCATTGCATAAACTGAGAATTTCGTGCATGTGTCTTACTCAGCCCCTCTGCCTTCTCCCCACAGAGAACCGTCTGATTCCAACTGAGTTGCGCAGGGAGGCTCTGGCGTTACAGGGGTCCCTGGAGTTTGATGATGCCGGCGGTGAAGGTGACCTTCCCTGCACTGTGGGCCAGCTCCTCTCCTTGTCCCTTGGGCCTACTGGCTTCTGAGTCATTGCTCAGACACTCTTGAGGAGAGGCTTCATGGCTCCTGCTCCTGGTCCCCTCATTTGTGCCCTCACAGCTCTGCACAGACAGCACCTCAGAGCTCTTCTCAAGTGCTTCCGGTTCCATTTATATGACACAATACAGCATCTCTCCATTACTCTTGGCTTCGCTTGTCAATTAATTGTTCTTTCCCCAGAATGTGAGCTCTGCAGGGCAGGACAGGTGTCCATTTTGTTCACTGCCATATCCCCAGCTCCCAGCACTTCATGGCACTCAAATATTTCATTCATTACCTTATTTAAGAAATGTGAAAGGAATCGCAAACGCTATAATTATTATGAGGGAAAAGAGTCTGTTAACTTTGACCTTAACAGAATCTAGACTTATGCTAACATAGTCACTAGCCCCACGAGATCAACACAGCTGAATTGGACTATAGCTAAATCAAATGTGAAAATTCAGTTCCTCCATTGCGCTTTTGCTTGGAGCCACTGTGGCTGGGGACCATGCTGTTGCTTATTATGGGTGTGGAGCGCTTCCATTACTGAGGGAATTGTCAAGACAGTGCTGTTAGACACAATTAGCCACCCCCACATTAGCATTTCACTTCCCAAGCACTGCCACATTCTTGAGTCTCATGCTTCTGACAGGTGTGACCAACCACATGGATGATGAATATCGATGGGCAGGGGTTGAAGATCCCAAGGTCATGATTACTACCTCACGAGACCCCAGTTCCCGCCTTAAGATGTTTGCAAAGGTACCAATAGTGGGGCGTGAGGGGGAGATTTGAAGGCCCCAGTGGCTCCAGCCCTAATGGGTGTGCGCTCATGTGCAGGAGCTGAAATTGGTGTTCCCAGGTGCCCAGCGCATGAACCGTGGCCGGCATGAGGTTGGGGCACTAGTGCGAGCCTGCAAAGCCAATGGGGTCACTGACCTGCTGGTTGTCCATGAGCACCGAGGCACACCTGGTAAGGCTGGTGGGAGGGTCGGGGTGTCGGCATAGTTGGCTGTCTGAGAGCAGACAGGGTCTCTGACAGCCTGACTGGCCCTGCCAGTGGGGCTTATTGTCAGCCACTTGCCTTTCGGTCCCACTGCTTACTTCACACTCTGCAACGTGGTCATGCGGCATGACATCCCCAACCTGGGCACCGTGTCAGAGGCCAAGCCTCACCTCATCCTGCATGGCTTCTCCTCCCGCCTGGGCAAGCGGGTGAGTCTGGGGCCATGGGGTGAGGGCTGGAGGAAGGGGGTGGCAGGCTTGGCATTTGACAGTCTCTTTCCCTTTGCCCTAGGTCTCTGATATACTCCGTTACCTGTTCCCTGTGCCCAAAGATGACAGCCACCGGGTTATCACCTTTGCAAACCAGGATGACTACATCTCCTTCAGGTGGGTGTGTAGGCTGGGCCCTAGTGGGTGTTCTGACATTTGTGTCCCTGTACTGTTTGTTCACCCGCAGCTGCTTCCTGCCTCTCCTCACCCCTGCCATGTGCCCCTTGCTCCAGGCACCATGTGTACAGGAAGAATAATCACAGAAGTGTGGAGCTGACTGAGGTTGGGCCCCGCTTTGAGCTGAAGTGTGAGTTTGGGGCTTTATACCATGTCTTGCTGTGGGGAAATGCTGGCTGTGTAGGTGACAACATTCTGTCTACTCTCCCAGTGTACATGATTCGCCTGGGCACGCTGGAACAGGAGGCCACAGCAGATGTGGAGTGGCGCTGGCACCCCTATACCAACACTGCACGAAAGAGGGTCTTCCTAAGTGCTGAGTGAGCCCACTCGCCAGTCAGGATGTGAACCTGGACCTGGGAGGTGGGGAGGGGTCAGAATAAAGTCTGTGTGCCACGTGCTCTGTTTGCTCCTGAGTGTTTGGGACAGGCCCACTGTCTGGCTGAGTATGAAGGACGATGACCATGGGGTATCTTTAGGTGGGGACTTGACAGATCTGGAACATCCTTGGATCTAGGATAAGGCTAGCCTGGCATGCCGGCTTGCCCCATAGCACTGCGGAGGCTTTGGTGTTAGCTGTGGCAGCTGTGGTATTGCCGTCTCCTGGGAGTCAGAGGCCCTATGATAGCCCATCACTGGGCGTGGGCCCGGTAATGGGGCACGTCATGTTTGCTCAGGACTGAATGGAGCAGGGTGGGACCCACTCAGTGCTCAGCAGGATCCCTCCACCCTCCTGGCACACACTGCTCTCTTCATTGGGGACATAGTGTGCCACCTGCTGCACACCTCTCCACCTCCCATCAGGGAGGGGTTTGTCTGAGGTCACATGGTGGACGGGAGGCATTGCTGCCCAGGAGAGGTAGGGATCTTGTCTAGCCTTCCATATTCATTCCCTTCGCCCTTCCTCTCTGCCCACTCCTAGTTTGTACCCAAGGACTCTGGCTTTACAAGGAATGGGTGTCAAAACCTTACAGACTGCACACAAATTGACATGGAGTGGAGTGATGATTCTAAGAAAGAAATCCATCCCACTAGGGATGTACATTTGTGTAGCCCTTATACCTCATGCAAACTCATGCAAAGTCTATGAAGAAACAAGTCAGATGTGGGAGTAGAGAGTGATGGAGGCCTATGCGGTTGCCTAAGAGCTACAGGATGGCCCAAAGCAGCAGGAGACTTTGAGGTGGACATTGCGCATAAGGGTTACGTTACTGGGAGCCCTGCCAGTAAACGGGTCTTGAGGGATAACAGAGGACCTACTGGGCCGGCCATGGCATTTAGGAAGAACAAGAGGTAGGACTTCATGGGATGTCTCTAGCTTCTGGCCCTTAGGTGAATTCAGTTCCTTCTGCAGGGCTTTCCAGGACCCCTCCCAGCTTGCCACAGCCTTACTTCACAAGTGAGTACACTATTAAGATTGTAAGTTATCGAAATCCCAGTATATGTACAAAAATAAAAGTAATACAATGCATTAGTTTCCTCTGGTTCCATGACAAATTGTCATAAGCTGAGTGGCTTAAAACCACAGATGTTCTCTCATGGTTCCCAAGGCAAGAACTCTAAGATAAAAGTGTCAGCTCCATCTCCAACCCCTTCTTCAGTGTCTGGTGGCTGCCAGCTCTGGTGTTCTTGACTTGTGACTGCGTCAAGATAGTCTCTGCCTTTGTCTTCACATAGCCTCCCTCTACTGTATGTCTCTTATAAGGACACTTGTCATTGGATTTATAGCCCATCAGAAAATCCAGGATGACTTTTTCATTTCAAGATTCTGAGCTTAATCACATCTGCAAAGACTCTTTTTCCAAATCACTATCACGGTTTCCCAGAAACTAGGCTGTGGACATAACTTTTGGAGGCCACAATTCATCCAACTGCATGTGCCCATGCCTCACCTTCAGTAGACATGTTTTGTGTATCCCTTACACCTCATGCAAATTCAGGCAGGGTGAGGATGCCTCCTGCTCACTCAGCATCCTCCCACGTGAGCATCATGAGGTATGGCTGTGTTTACTGTTTACCAAGTGCAGGGCATGCCCTTGTTCACTAGTGATTTATTTTTTGATAATCTAAGCACAGAAGTCTCAGTGCAGAGTTTGGTGCTGTGGGCCAGCTCTTAGCCAGGGTCAGACAGAAGATAAGCAAGATGCAAACCATTTAAACTCCACTGTGGTCTCCACTGCAGTAAAGAAGCCTTTGAGTAATTCAGGTTGGTCACAGAACCCAACACACTCAGGCTCACCAGCAGTGGAGGGCTTTATGAAGGACAGGTCTGCATTTTGCTCATCAGCTGTGTTTAAGCCACTGGGGGGTGGGTAGTATCTAATGTTGGTGACACTTGGGAGAAATGACCCTGATAGCCTGCTGGTGGAAGAACCTGTGGGTAAAGTCCAGCAAGTTTTTTTAGCATTTAAAATGTCCTACTTTTTTGAGTCTGCTTCCTAGGGTCAGAAGTGGTCTCTGGGATGCTACTGGAGACAGTTTGGGCACAGCTTTGCCTGGGTGTTAGAGCAAGGGAGTTTGTAAAATGAGGCTATGTAATGACGGTAATTAAAGAGAGAAGTTGGGGGAAATGTCCACTGTAGCACCTGGGGTATTGCACAGATAATGTCCTGAAGGCTCATGGGGATCCTTGGATTTGAGGGGCAGTACAACGCTAAAGGGATATTTGTGCATCTTTTGTTAGACTACCCTAGAAGAGATCAGTTAGTACTTGTGTAATCTTGAAATGCAAAGGACGAAATGGAGATAAGGCAGGCCTGGGCTTTGGTGTTCAGTGTGAGCACCTTTCCAGGCTGGACATCAGTGGCGGAACAGAGGGCTGTTGTGCTTGGGCTTACCTGATACTCCAGTTTTAGGATTCTTCTCTATATTCAGGAATATTAACAAGTGGGGAATACAAGTTGAGGTGTGTGGGAGATCTGTGTCCTATTTTTTCAACTTTTGTATGAACAACATTATTTCAAAATAAAAAATTAACAAGTTTTAACAAAATTACAGTTAATCTTTTTGGTTGACCTGGCAGTGGTGTTACTTTAGAAAATGTCTTTAGTTATTAAGAGACAGGGTGAAGTATTTGGGGGTGAAATATTAGCCACGTACTTCTTGAAAATGCTTCTGCAGAAGTGGAAAAAGTAGCTGAAGCAAAATACTGTCATATTTAGGTGATACAAATGAGTTTTGTTATAGTCTTTCCACTTTAATGTGTGTTGTAAATTTTTCGTGTAAAGAATTAAAGGAAAATAATTAAAAATGCCTTCTTTAGTTGCTAAAGCAACTTTTGTATTTGTTATAAATTATTTAAAATCTTTAAATAAAAAAATCTAGAGGGTGACATGCCAACCATTAATGGATTCTGAAAGCCATTGAGAATTAGGTACAGGAGGTGATGGAGAAATTTATTCCACATGTATGAATTTGTAATTTTTAGGGGAGAGAATGTATTCATTTTCACTTACACAAAAAAGTAAAAATTTAAACACAACAATGAAGTGCATTTTGGGTTAGGTCCACCAAAGTGGCTGCAGTGAACATTTTGCCCACCATCCTTTATTCTTCCTTTAGGGTACATTCCTAGAAATAATCCAGTGAGATGTTCAAGTCTAAGCCTTTTGATATTTCTTATCAGAAAGTTGGTATTAAGACCATTTATATCTTAACCAGATTGGCAAAGTTCAAAATGTCTGAATGTGGTTGGTAAAGGGGGAATGGACTTCATAATAGGTGCAGAACTTTGAAGATACATATTAATGTGTACCTAGTCTCTAATCCAGTAACCCTTCAGGAATGTGCCTGACATTCACACTGCCAGCATGGCAGAGTAATAACTGTGCAAGGATGCTTTTTGTGGCAGCAAAAGTAGGGAAACAGCTTGGATGCCCATCAACAGGATTGCATTTACATGAGCAGGATGCAGGCACAGAGTGGATGGATCACTGAAGCCATTGGAAAAAACCTGAAGATATAGGGTGTTAAAGAAGTATTGTGAGATGCCATGTGTGTTATGGTACCAGTGTGCAGAATAGGGACGGTCAGGTGCTGATGAATGGACTGCGTTATCTCTAGGCGAGTGAACACAGCTGTGTTTTGCGGGAGGGGGTGGGTGCACTGGCGATCCAGGGAGGGGGAGACTATACTCTATAGTGCTCCTGTGAGTAGACGTTGACCCCTTGTGAGTTACCTTCTGGGTTCTCTGCCCATTCCTTGGAATGCAGGGAGACACTGATTTTCTCCATTGGCTTTCAAGAGTCTTAAAGATGTTGCAAATATTTCTCTAATAGTGATACCTCTTAAATTGTAGAAACAACACATCGTCATGTTAAAAAACATACAGAGGGTACACAGTGAAAAATAAACCTTCCTCCTTCCTGTACCTGCAATGATCCAGCCCTTCTCTCAGAGACTATTGACTTTTTAAAAACTTTTTTTTATTGAAATAAGATTGATGTACAATACTATGTTTATTTCAGATGTACAGCATAGTGACTTAATGATTATATATTACTAGGTGCTTGGCAAAGTAAGTGTAGTTCCCCCTGCTACCATACTAAGGTACTGCATTATTACTAGTTATTTTCTATATGTTGTACTTCCATTCCTAGGACTAATTTATTTTACAATTTACAGTTTGTATTGGTTTAGTCCCTTCACCTATTTCACCCATCATCCTACCCACCTCCCTGTAGTAACCAACTGGTGCCCATATTTATGGATCTATTTCTTTTATTGTTCTTTTTTTTATTTTTAGATTCCACATATAAATAAAATCATATGTATTTGTCTTTCTCTGCAAGGTATATTCACTTAAGATAATACCCTTCAGGTCCATCTGTGTTTTCACATATAACAAGCTTTCCTTTTATATAGCTAAGTAATACTCCATTGTGTATATATACCATGTTTTCTTTATCTGTTCGTCTATCTATGGGCATTTGGGTTGCTTCCATATCTTGGCTGTTATAAATAATGCTGCAGTGAACATAGGGTGCATATATCCTTTCGAATTATTAATTTTGTTTCCTTTGGGTAGATTCCCAGAAGTCATATGGGAATTGCTGAGTCATATGGTATTTCTATTTTTAGTTTTTTGAGGAACCTCCATATCATTTTCCACAGTGGTTGAACCAGTTTATATTCTAACCAACAGTGTAGGAAGGTTCCCTTTTAATCACATCCTCATCAATACTTCTTTATTTCTTGTCTTATGGATAGTAGCCACTCTGACTTGTAAGAGATGATATCTCATTGTGGTTTTGATTCGCATTTCCCTGATGATTAGTGATGTTGAGCATCTTTTCATGTGTCTGTTAGCCTTCTGTATGTCTTCAGAAAAGTATGTCTTCAGGTCCTCTGCCCATTTTTTAATGGGATTATTTGGGTATTGAGTTGTATAAGTTCTTTATATATTTTGGATATCAGCCCCTTATCAGATATGTCATTTGCAAACACATTCTCCCACATAATACATTGCCTTTCTTTTTTTTGAAGGTTTCCTTTGCTGTGCAGAAGCTTATTAGTTTGATGTGGTCCCACTTATTCATTTTTCCTTTTATTTCCTTTGCGTGTGGAAATGTGTCCATAAAGAAATGTCTCATATTGATTGTTTATGCGATTCTTGCGTATGTTTCTTTCTTTTAAGAGTTTTATGGTTTCAATGTAGCGGGGGCAGAGGGGACACGGGAAAGGCAGTATAACACAGGGAAGACAAGTAATGATCTATAGCATCTTACTATGCTGATGGACAGTGACTGTAATGGGGTATATGGTGGGGACTTGATAATAGGGGTAGTCTAGTAATGATAATGTTTTTCAAGTAATTATACATTAACAATAGCAAAATAAAAAGAGTTTAATGGTTTCTTGTCTTACATTTAGGTATTTAATCCTTTTCAAGTTTACTTGCATGTATAATGTAAGAGTGATCTGGTATCATTGTCTTACACATCCAGTTTTCACAGCATCATTTATTGAAGAGACTGTCTTTTCCCCATTGTATATTCATAGCTCCTTTGTCATATGTTAACTGTTCATATCTGGCTGGGTTTATATCTGGGCTCTCTATTCTGTTCCATTGATCTATAGGTCTGTTCTTCTGGCAGTGCCGTGTTTTAACCATTAACTTTGTATTATAGTTTGAAATCAGGAAGTATGATACTCTTAGCTTTGGTCTTTGTTCTCAAGATTGCTTTGGCTACTCAGGGTCTTTTGTGGTTCCATAAAAATTTTAAGATTATTTATTCTAGTTCATTGAAAATTACCATTGATATTTTGATAGGGATTGCATTGAATCTGTAAATTGCTTTGGGCATGATGGCCATTTTGACAATGCCTATCCATGGGCATTGGAGAAATTTCCATTTATTTGTGTCTTCAGTTTTTCTTATCAGTGCCGTAATAGTTTTCAGAGTAAAGGCCTTTCACCTTGGTTAGGTTTATTCCTAGGTATTTTTTTATTTTTAATGCTATTGTAAATGGAGTTGTTTTCCTGATTTCTCTTTCTGGTTCATTGTTATTATATAGGAATTCAGCAGATTTTTGTGTATTGATTTTGTGTCCTACAACTTGGCTGAATGAAATTATTAGTTCTAACAGTTTTTTGTTGAAGTCTTTAGGGTTTTCTTTATATAGTATCATGTCATCCGCAAATAATTTTACTTCTTCCTTGCCAGTGTGGATGACTTTTATTTCTTTTTCTTGTCTGACTGCTGTGGTTAGGACTTCCGTAATGTATTGGATGAAAGTGGTGAGAGTGGGCATCCTTGTCTTTTTCTGAACTTAAAGGAAAAGCTTTCAGTGATGTTGGCTGTGGGTTTGTTGTATGTGGCCTTTATTATGTTGAGGTGCGTCCCCTATATACTCACTTTGTTGAGAGTTTTAATCAAGAATGAATGTAGAATTTTGTCAAAAGTTTTTTCAGCATTGATTGAGATGATCATATGGTTTTTATCCTTTCTTTCATTAATGTGGTGTGCCACATCGATTTATGAATAATGTACCATCCTTGCATCCCTAGAATAAATCCCACTTGGTTGTGATGGGTGATCCTTTTGATATATTTTTGAATTTGGTTTGCTAATATTCTGTTGAGGATTTTTGCATCTGTACTCATCAGGGATATTGGTCTTTAGGGGTTTTTTTTGTTGTTGTGCTTTTGTTTTTAAAATAATACTGACCTCATAGAGTGAGTTTGGAAGTATTCCCTCCTCTTCTGTTTTTTGGAATTCTTTAAGGATAGGTATTAGCTAATGTTTGAATGTTTGGTAGCATTCATGCATGAAGCAATCTGGTCCTAGACTTTTGTTTGTTGGGAGCTTTTGATTACCAGTTCAATTTTGTTAGTAGTAATTGGTCTGTTCAGATTTTCTGTTTCGTCATGGGTCAGCTTTGGAAGATTGTGTTTCTGTGAATTTCTAGGTTGTCCAACTTATTGGCATATAATTTTTCATAGAATTCTTTTACAATGCTTTGAATTTCTATGGTAACTTCTCCAGAGGCTATTGACTATTGACTTAAAAAAAATCTGACCAGACATTTTCTATTCATGGTATTTTTTTAACCCAAAAGGGATCATGCTTTGTACACCATTCTTAAACTTGCTGTGTTTCCCTTTCATGGTCTCTTTAGGATACCTCCTAGATTGCGTAGGATATCTAGTACAGGTGAATCCACCTCCTTCTTAATGCCTGCACATTCAAGTTGTTTCCTGTTTTTACTACACAAACCCTGCTTCAGAAACATCATTGAACAGATGTGTGCATGGTTATGCAAGTATATCTGATGAGTACTTTACTACAAGTGGAATTTTGTCTTTAAAATGACCGTAGATGTTGCTGAATTGTCCTCCAAGAGGCTGTTTGTCTGGCCATTGCCTACAGAGCTAAATGCCTGTCTCCTGTGTCTTTTCCAGACCTGGGTACTCTCAGGTCTTTCATCTTTGCCAAGATCTAGTTGCAAAATGGTTTCCTAATTGGATTTGTATGTATTCAGTTATGATAGAGGTGGTTCATCCTTCCAAGTACTTATTAGTATTTCCAAATACTAATGTGTGTGTATGTGTATGCATGCGCTCACGCACTCTGTGACCTGTTTGCTCTCTCTTTGTATAGAAATAACTATTCAGCTCTATATTGATAGATTACTTTGAATCTATTAATTGTGGAAAAATTCAAACATACAAGAGCAGGTAGGACTGTACAGTGAGTCCATGAGCCTGGTTGACTGGTCTGGTTTCCTTCATAGCCCCACCTACTCCCTAT